ATCGGAAGAACTCACCAGAATCATCTTCTGTTTTGGGAACTGTGAAATGGGTTAAACACCGTCTAAATAATAATTTAAAATTGCTTAAATTGTTTTCTTACTTTGTAGGAGAATGAAATATTTTAAACACTCCAATTTTGCAGATACTGTATTAACAATTCTTGTTACTGTCTTTAAACAGCTATTCTACAAAATGTAACAACAAAGTAGTCACAGTCCAAGAAATCACTCCAGAATAAAGCCTATTGCATGTAAGTATGGTTATATTTGTACTGCAACCAGTGGACAAACATTAAAGCTGAGATAGTTTAGCTTAAATGTTGGATTATATGGTGGACATCATTGTTTTCACAATAAATTCCTCTGCTTTGTATTTGTTTGATTCACTGATATTTCTCTAATGATAAAAGTACCACAGTATGTTTTATTGTGGTGTTTAACAATTCCGCAAAATTACAAAGCCTAAAGTTAACTCGTACAATGAAAATCTGCCTGTCCTGATGACTGGGTCCTATGGGTTTTTTTTAAATCCTCATTAGCACAGCCTTTTCTTTTTTTTTTTTCTTTTTTTTTTTTTTTCCTGTCATCACAAAATTGTGTCAGATGTTGCTAATTTGAGATAGAGCTACTAAATCATTTAGAACATCAAATGCTTAGGTGGATAGATACTGCAGCACAGATATGAAACATCACATTTTTGTCTGATGGCTATAAAGCTTGTTGGCAACTTTGTGACCCTGCTGACACAAAAGGCAACCACCAAAGGCCTTTTGTAAGTTACCATAATAAATACATTCATTACTTTTATTTTGATTTGTTTATTACTGTACTTTTACGTGTGGTGTCCCAGCAAAGTGAAAATAAATTAAAGAAAAAACAAAGGCAACTGCAAAAATGTGTTGCTTGGTGCAGGAATTAACTCAGAACAGCATGTTGTGAGATTATAGAGGTGAGGCTAAACCAGCTATTAGCCTGATCTGAACTCACAAAAAGGAGATTCAGCGTGCCATTTACCAAGGTATGAGCTACCACCAAAGTGCAAAGATCTGGAGCTAAACCTCTACACATATCAGGAAGAATGTGAACCAAATAAACAAGACTGATGCAAGGCCTTCAGCACTTTTGAAGTAAGGAATCAACAAAATATGGTAGATGAGACGGTTTATAACTTATGATTTCATGCACTATTTATGCACTCTGGATTAAAGCACTGTAACACATGGCAAAGTAAGAGGAATTGCCAAGCTTGCCTTCCTGAAATTAGCAACTGTTGAGGGCTAATGGGAAGTGGAGTGGAATTGCCAGATTTGCCATTTATAGCAAGTGCTGCCTATGAGCACCTTATCTACATAGCCTTTGGCTTAGGGTAGTGATGTTCACTACGGTAGTGTTGCAGAAAGTTATTGAGGACACTGGGCTTCTCTGTGTGCATGTGTGCATGCACGTGTGTGCGCGTAGTGACGGGGCAGGGCACAGTGTCTGTGCGGGGGGGCAGTTATTGAATCTTAACATAACTGGCAATGAAGATGATCTGTGTATGATAATAAAACAAAGAATATTTCAGAAGAATGCTACATGTACAAAAATATGACTTTCAACTTTGAAAATAAATAATTTCAGTTTATTAAGAGCTGGTGTCAATGCTGAACAAAATACACATCCTCCAGTAAAGAAACATTGTGGTGAACTGTCCTTTTTTTTTTTCCCCCTTTTTTTTTTTTTTGATTTACTAAAATACAAGTTGGACCTTTTTTTTCTTTTTGTAAATATATCATTTGTCTCCCTTAATTACATGTCCTTATAACTGCGACCATCATTCTCCTTTGAGCCAAAGACTGAGGTTTGCTTTTTTAAAATTCTTAGGAGTCTGGCCACATATGCAGGGTTTTTTTAAGGGAAAATACTTGACAATGAAAAAAAAGAAAAATATATTTTTTCTAATAAATAAAAATAATTTAAAATGCTAGAGGCTATACATGACTAGTTTTGATTATGTTCATTTATAAATGAAATATTTCCAAAATACATGGAAGCAATATTAAAGGCAGACAAAGAAAGATCTGTCTACTTTATTTTCCCATTAAACGTGCCCTTCTTAACTTCTCCATCAGTGGTTCAGCATGTAAGAGGACTAAATGTCACATCACCATTCATGAAGTTTGTCAGGCTTTAAAAAAATAGTTCTGGCCTCGAAGGAGTCAACATTCATCTTCAACTTCTCTGATTGGCGGTATCAAGCTGCTTGTCGATTTATATTGATTGATCTGATTGGCCATGTGAGTGCTCATGGGCTTGATTTGAATGTTTCTGGGATAGGCATTATCCGGCTCATCTGTAAACCATTTCTTTTCTGCTAAGGAGCAAAATGGGTAGAGACAGAATAAGGAGGGAAAATGAGAGTTTTAATTAGTGAAGCACATATATACATAAACATCAGAAGAAAAAAAAAAAAGGAGGGAGGAGTAGTCAGTAAAGTTTATAGAGGAAAGGCGATCAATAGAAGGTGACTTTGACTAATTACTAGTAGTACAGTGCATTAGACTAATACCTCTGAAAATACTTTTCATGAAAGGAGGATGACATCTTTGCAGATTTGATAGTAGAAGCTAAAGAAAACTGTCAATATGCTAGTTTGCTTGTTGAAGGTAAGAGAGCTCTTTGGGGTTTTTTTTTTCATGCTCAGGTGAACACTCTCTGATTCATTTATTGAAAAAATGATACAAATAAAAGGCTAAACTGAGAAGCCAGGTAGAGCAGACAGGATAAGGGTAAAGCAGAAAACAGAATGTGAGTCCATATACAGAGGAGCACCTAAAGAGTCGCAGGTTTCTCTGAACCATGTCAGCCTTGGGGTGGTCACTACTGTTGGCTCAGAAATCATGCAGGATAATGTAAAGCAGAACTTTCTGCAGTTGGTGCTAGAATAAATACAGCTTGCATTCATGCTGCCAGATGGCTGTCTTCCTGCCCAGGATGGCCATTATATTGCTACTTAGCAACCCGGCTGCTTGGGTGCTGCTGAACTCTCCAGTTTGGGAAGGGGTATGGAACACGGCTGATGCTGCAGATGACTGTAGTAGGGGCTCAAGTTAATCCTGAATGGATTGGTACTGATACGTGACAGCAAAGCAAAGGAAGCAAGGACTTAAAGGCAGATTAGAGGGGAAGCTGTTCCTTGTCTATCTTTGGGCAGTGTCTGTTTCCATGAACAGAGGAAAAATTTTATGGTACTGATTTAAGGTGGGTTGGGAGCAATGTGGGAGGGAGTGAGGATGTTGAGAGGCTGCAGTAAATGCACCCATTCCCTAGCTGTTTATGACTGTAACCACTATATTGCATTGCTCATATGCAGATGTGGACAAAAAATTCTTAAAATTCACAAAAGAAAAAAAATTCTTAACCCCTTTTGAGAGCAATTACTGCTGCCATTTCCTAATTACAGGTGTGCAACTTTACAAGATAGCTCTATTCAAAGACTTAGAAACTCCTGGTCTTAAGAGTGGCTTATGACTGTTAGGTGATTGTGCTATGACAAGCACTTGTGAACAAAGGTCTCTATTCTTGCCCTCCTTCCCCAAATTCCAGAGGTGGGTGTGCAGAGCAGTGGGCAAAAATGGTTCTGGGGATGGGATTCTGCAACTGGGGCATTTTCATTACTACATGCAAGGTTTAATGTGTGCCACATCAGAGCTGCTGCTCTTACATGTATGCACTAATTCTTATTCCACTGGGGAACCCAAAATGCTTCAGAAGCTTTAGTGTCTCACGTACATAATATAAACTGCCACTTTTGCTTACCACTGAAATGCTGCTGTATCTGGGCTGGAATCAGGGCAGGAGTGAGAGAAGTGCTCATTTCAAATAAGTCAGTAAATAAATAAATAAATAAATAAAGCAAAGCAAAATCCACCTTGGAAACCTAAGGATCGAGCACAAAAGCTCAGGAGGTGAAGCAGAGAATAGAAACTGGAAGACCAGGAAGAATGAAGGACAAATATCTGAGCATGAACGCATAAAAATAAGCAACTAGCTTCAAAGTTAGGACCTCTAAAGAAGTGGTCTGGTTTCCAGATTTACTGGACCTTTCAGTCACTTTCATGACTATGAAATTTAAACACTTATACCTGATTTGGATTTTAAGCATCTACATGCAACACCTCTATTCCCCAACTACAAACCTCAAACTCATGAGGGTTTAATCCATCTCACCTCCCCCCCCCCGTTATATTTGTTACCTGTGTCTATGCTTTTTAAAAAATTTAAATTGAAAAAAAGGAATTGTATTAATGATTAGTGGCTTATTACTAAAGGCAAACAGAACTACTATATTGTTTTTCTTGTAATTTTCTAAAATGTATTTTACTTCCTTTTAAAATATCTTACTCATTTTCAATCAGGGTAAATAGTTGTTCCCTGCCCCCTTAAAGTTGCCTGAGTGTGAACAATGTTCAATCTCCCATCTCTCTCTCTCTCTTACCTATTATAATTAAGTTCCCTTTGATTTGAACAGATTGGACGATAGGAATTCATAATGTTACATCCTGCACACTGAAGCTAACTGATTAAGTGCTTTAAATTATTCTTCCTGACAGAATGATAAAGTTACAATCTGTTCAGAGATGATCTACAGCTTGCCAGACTCCTACCGCTTCTTTCTACATTCATTTATCTTTTTGTCAAGCAGTTAAAAAAAAAAAAAAAAAAAAGCAGCCTCAGTTCCATAGATCTTTTAAAGTCATCAGAACATCTGAATTATTAATGAGACTTTAAGGGAATGGTTCCTGATGGGGGCTGGTTTAAGAAAGGTTGTAGATAAAAAAAAAATCTGTGACTGTGTACACATCAAAATAATTTCAGCTCCATTTAAAAAACCATTTAGTTCAAGTGTGACACATGAACCATTATGCATTTGTGGAAACCAATTTTATGTGATCTACGATTAAACTAACCTTTCAGAGAGGTGTAAAGTGTGATGGTTATCATGTTTTAAAAGCCTTGCAAGATCACATAAACAATTTCAAACTAACAGTTTTCTAATGGTTTGTGTTTAAAACGATTTTGAGGCAAGTTAAGCACTGTGAACTTTTATCTCTACTTTCTTTTTTAACATATGGTGCGCAAACTTTCCTTACAAATAGAATTTGGTGCAAGTTAACCCAATCTTGTAGTAAGAAAGGGAAGAACTGCGTGAGTGCTAAGGATTAGGGATGAACTGCACTGTGTTTCTCAGCAGCCAGTGTAAAGCAGTTCTACCATCTCCCCTGCTTTCCCTGGAATTTTCAAAACACAGCAATTATTTATACGTTAATCTTTACAATAAAACTCATATCCAGGGAGCTGATCTTTAAAAAGACACCATCAAATCTCTTTTTGCCTTTACCTGGCAAGTAATAAATACAGGATATAAATAATAAACGCAGAAACTAGTAGATTCTAATTTATTTTCCTGTTTAAATTTCTTTTTGCCAGTGCTGAAACCTTGATCCAGGCATTATCATCTCCAGAATCAAATGCCTGGACCCAGCTATATACCTTTCCTGTTCCTTTTCTGCTGTTAAAGTTGTCTTTGACCATATAATGACAAATGTGAAAGTGTGAAAGTCCATCGACCTCTATACTTACCTTTGAAATGTGAGCTTGATGCTCCTCATCTTTCCTTTTGGCCACTAAAATATTCTGCTCCTGGTTACTAAATGTCCTTCTTGAATCCCTTACACATTTTTCAATCTTTTTTGTTATGCTCACAGTCCGACTTTGACATGCCTTCTGAAGTCTTAGCACAGATTTTTACGTATCTTAAATAAACTACCTACGCTTTCTTTTAAATCAGTCCAGAAAACTCTTTTTTAAAAAATATATGGCTATATTTATCAACTTTTTTTTTTAGTTCTCTGTCATGTTCAGTCAGTTTCTCTCCCTTTTGGTATATGCCTACTGATCCTTACCATATGTGTTTCTACGTTATAGTGAGAACAGGCATAGTTTTTATTTTATTTTTTAAAGAGCTGTTCAAGAGAGTCGCTGATCTTCCTATGCTATTTGGTGGGTTTGTTTCTGGCAGCATCACCTGAGAGATGCTGGAACAGCTAAGTAGCTTCATGTATCAGAAAGCAGAAAACATTTACTTTCCTCTCAAACACCTGTGTTTGCAATGGGCTGTCAGCATCCCAGTGCATCCATGAAGGTTCTAAAGGCTTCATGCTCTTATTATAAATAAATAAAAATTAACATCTTGTGTAAGACTGTTCCCTGCAGCATGAAAAGATTTAAATAACTAAAGTAAAATGATGAAATTACAGATTTCTTCAAGACTCTAGCAATTCCTTGCAACAGATTTATTGTTCTGGTGCTTTAAAACTTCTGTCATCAATTCTTGACTGAGTAATCACATTTGAATATATGTCCCTGTGAAACACCCTCTCTTCTAGGCAGACGCAAAGAAAGTACTAGCTAAACATGACACAAAGATTTTACTAAATCTGTATTCTCACCATAATACCAGGGTACCTTACAATTTTTTAAACTACTTTTTTTTTTTTTCTTTTGTGACACTTGCAGTTTCAAATAAGTCTGTATGTATGTTTGTGTGCCTCCCCTCCTCCACACAGGCAGCTTGTTTATAGCTAAGTTGAAAATTCTCCCATGCAATTTCTTCCTGTCTGAGAAAAAAGTAATGAAAGTTTCTCCACCCACCTGCTCAGCAATTCTTTGTTGGGTAGATGAATATTTTACATGTAGCAGGCAGCAAGTAATTTGCAGAGAAAGAGAGAAGAAACTATTCTTACTTTCTGTGAAAGTCTGTATCTTGCTCCAAGGCAACTAAAGTTTTGGGACAAAAATGCTATTCTGGACTTGCTCTTGGTGATTTTTTATTTTTTAAATCACCAAAATTCTTACTTTTGACAATGGGAATTTCACTGGAAAATGCCTGACTCTGCCAGTTTAGGCCAACAGGAACCCACGTCAAGAACCTGCAGGTTTGCTAGATATGGTTTTGTGTCAACACTCAGATCAAAAAAGTTACAAGGAACTTAGTTTCCATTGTCAAAACCATGCTGGGACTGATATAAGTAGCAGGACCTCCATTTAAAGCTCTACAATGTCATCTCTTTACATTGGTGCTGCTTTTCCACTTTCAAAAACTATCCAAGGTACTTACTAAGAATGTTTGACTTGGCATTCGTTTCTGAACAAACAGGAGATTTCCCGTTACTTTACAATATAAAAAATGTTGACAACATAACGTAGTTGATTTAAACATTCCTGTACTTGTAATGACCAACCTCCCAATTTCATTGATACATCCATATCAGAAAATCTTCATCACTGTAATAAACTATTTGACCAGTTTGACTATAGTTAGCAGTGAAAACTGCACATGGTATAACTAAAAGTCAAAACTTTAAGACTTCTAACTTTAGGACAGAAGACAGAGAATTAGACTTTAATATGATTTGAAGAATTTAGATATGCATCCATATTATATATTCTTCTTTTGTTACTCTCATAGTAGACAAAGTTGCTTCTCTAATGTACACTGTTTATATTTTTTCTATTTGAGGTGTACAGTTATACAAATACTATTGTTTTGGATAAAATTGTTATGTAGTATGTGACAAGTGGCTTCATATTAACACCCTTCTTTCCTCTGCTAAATGGAAAACAGATAAAACATTAATGGAAAAGCATTTTGGTATCAAAGCCATTAACATTCTTCCAAAATGCATAACTGCTCTCAACTATCTTCAGTCAATATTGCCAACATAAAAAGATGCTCATGAACATACACAGGGGATAGGGGAGAAGGGAGGGGAAGTGAGGAAAGGAGTTGGAATAAGGAATGGGAAATTAAAGTGATGTCTGCAACAGGGTAGGCATCTTCCTTGAGCAGGAACCTGGGTGTTTACAAAAGGACACGTGCAATTAGAAAGGCAAGCAGATGAGAGGATAAAAATAAAACAAGGTTGATCAACAGCAGCAGCAGCAGCAGCCAGCTTTACTTCTGATTTGGAGGGGAAAAAAAGGAAAAAGAAAATCAACAAAACAACCAACCAAACAAACAAACCAATAACTGAATAAAGTTTATAACTATTTTTTTTTTAATTTCACAAGTTTTCACAAGGACAAAGTTATAGAAGGAATCCCACAGCAGTTGCTAGGTCATGCAGAACCATTAATTGTCATACCTTGGCCCATTCTATTCATCCTTGTTGCACTTTAGAAAAAGAAGTAAGCTACGTAAGTTTTACAATGCTTTTAAACTGTCATATTTCCTGTTGAGCACTTTAACTGGCATATCCTTGTAGTAACAAATATTCTTAGGGCAAAACATGATTACTTTCTTTGCAAAAAGAAACACATGAATTTGTCTTTATGATGAGAGCAACTGTAATTGACTAATTTGTAGGGGAGCATCCATAATTTGCAATATATTTCACTGATAGGACTTACAGCTGCATTTGAATGCACACACACATATATACTGTATTCCAATCATTATGCTTAGCACTGCACAGTGGTACTCTCTGTAGCCCACTTATATGGTTCCAGGTTTTGTCAGTAAAAGTGCTTGGCTTCATTGTCAATTCACACAGCAAGCAAATCTTCAAAATTATCATGCTTGGGGAAGGGGAAGGTAGAAAACAACACTAACCATAAAAGCACCTTGTCTGGGTTGGTAGTTACAATTCTAATCACTCCCATATCCAAATACTAACTTTCTGTCTGCATGCTTTCTTGCTGGCTAGCCAGGGAACGTGGTATGTACTTCTGGTCTCCCTACCCTGGGAAATTCTTCATGCTACCTAGAACTAGTTCTGTATTTCAAAAGGTTGGCATTTGAAGTTAAAAAAACAAGCTTGAATTATCATTTCTATCGTTGTCTAGGATAGGGTTTTTTCCACTACTTTATTTAATTCCCTGCCACAATTTTTGTTTGGCTAGGTATGTCATTGGTGAAAATCTGCAAGAATCAAACTCTGGCAAGTGCCTAGAACATGATGCCTCAGCACAGTGAATATTTCCACCCCAGCCCTCTTGTTCTGCTCATTAGCTCTCTAGGGCACAGCACCTTCTCTTCCCAAATGGGAGAGACCTTAAAGGCACTCAGCTGACTTCCCCTGTATCCCTGCATACTGCACACTGGCATGCACCTGTTGAAAAGAACCAGCTAGAACATGGAGCAGCATTTCTGGACGTTCTTCATGTATTAGGACTCTTGTTGGAAGATTTATACCACCACTCTAACTTGGAAAAGTTAAACTACCATCTGGGGAAAGGAACAAAGTCCCTTGAGATCTGATACTTAAGCACAGAAAAATGCTTGCTCTTTTCTGAACATTATTTATTCTGTACATAAGGTGACTAATTCACCTTTTAAAGACGTAAAAGTCCCAGGAAGGCAGTTTTTAATGACTTACATCCAATATTTATGATACATATGGCTTTTTATCCCAAATGTCAAAAGTGAAAGAAAATATAGCTATTCATGTGGCAGTATAAATAGACAGAATAATAATTTAATATGCAATTAGACTCTTTCTAAACTTAAATTAAACCACTGGAGTTCTACAACTCCATGCCCAGACAATTTCAGTGTTAAAGGGAAAAGACACTATCTCCAAAAGGCTAGTATTTTAGACAAAATCCTTAAACAAGCAGAAAAGTCCCTGATGTTGCTTTGGTATAAAGCAGGTGCGTAGCAATAATCTATATGAAGAGTGTAAGTTCTATACGATATAAGCTTTGAGAGTGAAAAATCAATACAGATTTTTTTTTTAAATGGGTTAGTTTTATAAGTTTCAAATAAATGTAGTAAATCCTGTAAATATGAATATAAAAAAACCTACTGCAACATTCATCAACACTTCTACGCTAAATGACTTTCTTTGTGTAACTGACATCAAGAGCAAGTGTTCATGTTAAATATAGTCTGTTTTCTGATATGTAGAGTAACTGCAGTGAGTTATTTATGTTTTCAGTGTGCCTATGGGTTTAGATTTTTTTTTCTCCCCTAACATCATAAATAACTTTTGGTCCGTCTGCTTTGTTGCTGTTGTGCTTAAGGGTTTTATGGTGCTGAAATAAAAATGACAATCACATGCACACTTTCATACATATGCAAAATATGTGTACAAAAAGGGAGAACTCTATGGGAAAACAGGGAACATTACTGCTGGAAACATTAACTGGGGAGAATGGGTGGTGAATGGAAGTTTCACACACAGTGGGAGCAGGTACACATATCAAAGTCTATCTTCCTGCACATACTTCTGTTTTTCCCGGGAATCCCTGGTCTTGGTGCGGTTCGGTCGGTTTGCTGTTGATGGGATGGAGTGAACTGATGAGCTCTTCTTGCTGGAAGAATAGGAGGAATGGGAGGAATGAGAAAGACTGGCCCGGGATTGGCCAGCATTGTGGTCAAACTGCATCAAACAGAAGATCAAGTCTGTCGGCACAAGCTCAAATTCATATGGTGGGTTTGTGATAACATAACTGGAAAGAAAGGAAGAAAGAAACAAAGAGAAAGCAGGTTTAGACTAAAAAAATTCTTATAAAGTTGTTAACTCATGAACATTTACATAGATTTTTCATGTCTGTTTCCTTCAGCATGTACCTAATTTTAGCTCACATAATACCCATTATGATTTAGGACCTTCTTATGTCAGATATCACTTTTTGTACGTTTTCTGTTGCACAGATATACTGTCTGAGTAGGATTTTCTTCAAGTGAATTACGTCATGATTTTTTCAGAGAAGACACCATACAAATCACCCTCCTTTCTCTAGCTGCACCATAATGCAATGACTCTAGCAAACATTTACATATTGACAAAATCCGGTAACATATCCACCAGCAACACTATTTTAAAAAATGGCTGAAAAGCAGGGAGAGGAGGATTTTAGAAGCAGTTATATTTAAATACGTATTTACTATATATTTATTAAATATTTAAATGCTGTCAATAGAGCAAGGGATATAATTATTTGTTTGGATTGTGACTGTACATAAAACAAGTTAAAGAAAATGTATCAGCAAATCTGCAGTGAGGTTAATTTTGTTCATTCATTCCACACATACATTCATAGCCACAAAGAGTATTTATAAAGAGAAATCTTCACATCCAAGAACCCAGAATTGCTAAGTATACATCCCAGGCCTGAAATAAAAACTCTATCAATTTCAAGAATCTCCACCTTTAACTAACCCCCTTTCAGGGTAGGAAGGGCTTATAGACCCTGCTGCTAAATTTTTTCATGCATGTGAAAAACAGATCTGAGCAAGGCAATAGGCATTTTCTGTCCAAGCAAGAACTGAGTAAAAATTGCTCACGAAACTCACAACTTCTTTTCAAATTAATTCAGTGCTCCTAAGAAATCTGGTTTAGCTGCCTCAGGGAGAGAAGTCACTTATTAATCCAACAAATAATCCCAAGTATAGCAAGTACAGTGTAAATCTAAACTGAAAATCATTTTTTCTACCCAGTTTGTCCAAATCTTTACAGAAGAAACTGTCTTGGTGGCCTGAAGGTTGTTTATTGCCATGTTCACTCAATAATGATGCTTTTTGTAGAGAATGAAACAATAACAGTTGGTAGATTTGTGATAGTTCTGGTATGGGTCTGTGTGTGTGTTTCTAGTAGACAATTAAGACATATTTCAAGTAAGCTGCTAAATGGCCTTCAGTTTGCAAAGATGGCAATGTGTCTGCTCTATTTAAAGCACTGAAGTCAGCCTTCGTGCTACTGAAGTAAAAATGCAGCCTACCAAGAGAAGGGTTTCCATTTACTGGAAGAAATTATTAGATACAGATAGTACCAATGGGAAGCCCACAGGAATAGATTTTGAACGTTTGGAAAAAACAAAGTCTAGCTACTACAATCTAAATTATTATCCAGTAATTTACAGCTGGTTGATATAAGCAAACTGAAGTCCTTCCCTTGTACGCTAGTAGTGAATCATAAAGATATGTTCTGAAAATTTACTTCAAAATTTTAATAAAATTAGCTGAAAACTTATGATTTCCATCATACGTTATGGTTTCCATCATAAGCTATATATCCAGCCTATGATTTAAAGTCAGCTAAAGAGTCATCATGAAGTCCTCAAAGAATTGGCTTTCACGGCAAAATTATGTAAAGAATGGAGAAAGTTCTTTTTTAGATTTATTACAGGCACTGGGACCTTTCTCGCCAAGAAGACTGAAGAACAGTGAAGCACAGATGTTCTAAAATGACTGGACTTACCGTTTAGTGCATTGGCTAGGAGTACTTAGATGTGCATCCCTTAATCGATAAATTCCAAAGCAAAGCATATTGTATGTTTTCAGTGCTTTACAAAATAGATCTCCATAACAACCTCCATCCTAGGAGAAAGAAAGGAGAGGAAAAAAAAAGAGAGAGAACAGCACATTTTTTTCCTTTCTTTTCTCTGTTAACACAATGTCAGGGAACAGGATTTTCAGTATGAGCCTGTAGAAAAAGGCCAATGTATAGACAGTCTGTTGTTTGTCACAAAAGTAAGAACATTTTACCCAACGAAATTAATAATCTAAATGTTTTATTTCAAATAATTAGTTATGTTAAGTGATCATTATTTTGGAGAGCCTTGGTCCATGAAATGATGGTAATTGGGAAGAGTGAGTGAATTGCTTTAAGCTGGAAATATAAATTTTGGTACCAAACAATGCATATTCTACAAATTACATTAACTGGTATTAAAATTTTTGACCCTTTTTTGGCAGTAGCCATGCTGTCATCTAGACAAATAAATTCACTGGGGAGCACAACAGAAATTAGAGTTCTGAGGGGTTAAAAGGATAATAAAATACCTCCCACTGTAAAATAATGATGAAATGTAAGTAATTTTTCATAAATAATGTAAAATGTTTTGATTAGCAAAAAAAAAGTTTAGATTTGATAATTTGTATATCTAAAATATTGATTCCTAAATAATGACGAATGTTAATGCATTCTACCTTCACTGATGTAGTGCAATTGAGGCTCTGGTGAAATAGCATTTGAAGGATTGGTACTGTTTGTTTGTTTTGTGAAAATATTACACTGCATGCCAAGTGTTTTGATGAGTTATTAGTCTCATGAATGGGCTTCTACATGAAATGAAAGGCTGTTTACTTCTACCTGTGTACTCTCATCACCCTTAATCCTTAAACTGGGATTCCTTGTAATTTCTGTGAAGAAGATTGCTCCATTCTTTTTGAATAGAGCTAGTGAACACAAGGTTAATTTAATATCAAATCCTACATCATCATCAAACCAAAATGAGTGCTTTGGGATTCACCTCAAGATTACAAGATTTGGTCCAGAAAACGTTTCTAGAAACATCTTTATCGAAATGCACTGTTTTTTAAAGATGGTTCATTTATTCGGGTTTGGTTTTGTTTGTTTGCTTGTTTGTTTTTTAACTTCACTCCTAGGCTAATGGAGTCAAAACATCAGAAAATTAGGATTTCACAATAGTTCATCCAGAAACAGCAGAAAACAAACCTTATAGCTTTGTTTTCAAGTTAATAAGCATATTTTAAGCAAGAACTGGAAGCTCTGTGGAAAGACTAAATAAGCTTATCAAAACCCAACAAAGTCATAGATATTGCTCATGTTTACAATGGATTATTGTTAGAATGGTTAAATCATACAAGTCAGCTCACTCATCTCTTTAGCTGACAACTAAGAAGAGTCACAGGATTTTCTGTATAAGTTATCCAGGCAAGGAGTCTAGGAAGTCATACAGGTTCTTAAAAAGGGTATGAGAACACCTGGCACCCTGTGCTGTAAATTGTTAAATGATCCAAAACCTCTATTAAATTAAGTAATAGAAATTATATGCTAATTAAGACAGATTTTTATTTCCGTTTGAGAGAAAATAAAAAGATTGCAGACCAGTCTTGGTCCTACATTTCCCTCCTGATCTTACCCCTAGGTCTGCAAATGGCCCATCATACAAAGCCAACTGAGCAACTCGACACCTGTCCCTGTTTGCAAGTGTCTGGGGCGTGCTGTAACCTCCTCTCAATGCATTTTCCTCAGCAATCAGTGCTTCCAGCTCTGGTGTGGCTCCTCCTGTTACCAATGTCCGTATCAGTGTGAGGATATTGTCATTGAAGTATGTCTGCAGAGATAAAAGAAAGCTCTTTAAGCAAACACCATTAAAGTCACAACTGAAGACATCCAAATTACAACTTTTCTGGGTTTCTGCTGTTTAAAGTTCTTGGCTGTCTCTTCAAATAATTTTATATAGAAAGTGAAAAGACAGCAGCCTCCAATTACTCTATTTTCTTCTATCCCATTAGGCTCCTATACTAGATCCTTCCTTTTAAACACCAATTCAGGCTGATTTTTATTAAAGTACAAAAATTTGAATGATTTATGTTTCCTATAATTGGTGTTAGTAGTGATGCAATGACTGCTTTCCTTCTCATTGCCTTCATGTCTAATAATGGGCTTTAGGACATGTAATTGTAAAATTCAGACCACATTTAAAGCTTACACAGGCTAGATTGCCTTTTTACTCTTGTCACCAATTCGTTGGGGAGCTGCCTTTGTGCTGCAAATGTCATTACTTATTACTGTGGCTGGACTCTAGCAGTCTAACCGAGGTATTGTACTAAACATCTTATTACGAGACTTGACAGTGTTCAGACATAAGCATGTATCAATTAAACATCTTGAGTTCATTCCAGATAAATGTATGATGAGTTTGGGATCCTGGTGGTCCTTTTAAAAAACTCTAGGGTATAGGGTAAGTGTGGTTTATTAGGGAAGATTTACTCCACACTGACATTTTGCCAGCATCTGTAGCATTGCTGGTCTGTCAGGCAAACAATGGGTATTTTAAATATTAATTTAATGCCAGATGAATGACTTTCAAGTTCACTTAAAAGTATACTGGTACAGTTCAGAGACACTCAGTTAAATATCTGCAATGTAATGTACTGGGAAAAAAATACTGTTGAACAAAAAAAGGAGACACCACCACTTACAATGTAACCAAGATCTGTGTTTTCAGAAGCTTTGCAAGCGTAGGGGACATAAGAGAAGAAAATGAGCTCACTGTAGAGTACACAGGATTGACATTACTGGATTTGTGGATTCCATTACTAGATTTGTGACTTTTGTTGAATTTAGGACTTGGAACAAATGCCTATAATTCAACCATGCAAAAATGAATACTGAATTCTCAAACAGTGCTTGTTGTCCAAAGAAAATACTTTTAAAATAATAATTTTCAATGAAATTAATTAATTGTTTTATCCATATAATTTCATTGTATTTAATACATGGGTAAACTGAGGTAGAGGTTGAAATATTTTATCCTGAGATCAAAAAGCAGAACTGGTTTCCTATCCATGTTACTTTGATATTCTTTCTTTGTATAATGAAATTTCAGTTCTATTGTTCACTTGAGATGACAGAAAAAATAGGAGAAAAATGAATTCTATGCAGCAACATTTTTTACTGTTACATTGAAGTTTCATAACTTCAAGCTTCTCTGCTTATTTACATAGGCATATATGCCATTCACCTGTTGACTAAATTAAAATGAGAGGAACATATTGTTATCGTTATACATGCCCTAAAGCAAATATTTGCATCTCATCAACTCCAATTATTTTAGATTAGCCCAGGTAAGGCAATACATATTTTAAATACAAAGTGTACTATAAAGAGTTGTCTGACATCAGCAGGGGTTCAGGAAGATTCAGTTAGTCTAAAACAACAGCTAATCTCAAATCAGCTCTTACATATGTGGATGCATTGTGTAATAATTCAAGTGTAATACTAAACCTTTCTTAACATATAAAAAAATCAATGTGACCCATTGCAGGAATATAAATCTGGAGTGACTCCATGATGTTTAATAGGAATTGTCGTGGTGAGAGAGAGAAGACATTCAGGCATGATTGTTTACTCTTCAATTACTTCTTTCTTGAGGTCCCTGAAGTAAGAATCAGAGTTGCCCTCTTTGGCAACTCTTCCTACTGTGCTATACTTTTCCAACATAGAATTACTCAGAATAAAAAATCAGCATTAAGTTTAGTCTCTTTTCTTAGCCTTTGTCAGGGTATACTATATACCACTCAGAACTAAAATAACTATCACAATTCCTTTGCTCCTGCAGTTAGGCAGCAATGTTACTTGACACAAGTGACATGGATATAAAGCCAAATTCTGCTAGATCTAGAGGTTGGAGGCACTGCAATTCTAGAAGCTGGAAAAGCCCTTTCAGTAAAAATGTGCTTCAACATATTCTATACAGCACTTTAAGGACATGTCTTCACAAAAGCACACCATTTTCTGCAACAGTATCTTTTCTCATGCCCTCTCCACTCTCTCACTCAGTATTTTTAATTCATTTTTCTTCTCTAAGTAGTGATATTTAGTGTTACTCAAAAATGCTATTCTCAGTTTTAGATCTATAAATCAGGATAGAAGAACATGAAACAAAAGCAAAGTGTATCTTTACTGGTAGATTTTTCAAGTATGGTTTACAATGAAGCCAACTATGGTATGAATGTTCACCTGATCTAAGACTGATGGATGTTGGTTCATATAAAATGGCCTGTTTTTATAGATTGCTGACTTGCAGGGATTGGTAAAACATGCAAAAGTCTAAAATTGTACTAATAATTTTATTACTCTTTAAGACCTAACATTAGGCCAGCCTTCACTGGTTTCCAACTCTTTCTCTTTACTCTGTAACAGCCAGAATCCAAGATTTAAACACATATACTCTTAGCTCATCTGAATTTTGTACTGTGCAAGTGCATAATTACCCCTTATGGTAAATTCAGTTGTAGTTCACTAGAGCATGATCTACTAAGAAATTATACTGTAGCCATATCACTCATTTTACTACAGATCTCATATTAAACCAAGAAATGAAAGCAGTAGTAAAATAATGTATCAAGTCAGGCACCTGTCACAAATTCATTAATATAAATAAACCAAAATAAAATACACCAATCCCACTCACCCACTCCCCAAACCCCAGTGCAATTAAGACATAATGGACCCGATTCTGACTTATGTCACACGCCAAGCAGGAGTAACTCTGGGAGCCATACACTACTATAAAACTGATGCAAATGAGAAAAGAATCAGGTCTATTGTTGATGGAATAGAATGCAGTCACCGGAGAAAGGCCTCCCAGTGCTAGACAAAGGTTAAGACAAAGCTAAGACACTTATTAGCAAAGGAGGCAACATTTATCTTAGAACAATGGCTTAATTTGGATTTCACACCATGACTGATGGGGATGTCACCATTTAATCAGATGGATGACTGTAGCCAAATGACAGGGTTTGGTTTTTTGCTATCAGTGAGTGAAAAGATTCCAACTTTCAGGATGCACTGCTCTGGTATTGCAACTGATCAGAAAATGCCCAACCATAAGCAAGAAAGGATGGGTGAAGAGGAAGCTGTAACTTGGCATCTTCTGCTAAATAGAGTTGCTTCCTCCTGTACTAATATATTTAATGCTCCTCAAGAAAAGCTTATCTGTCTTTGCTTCCATGTCACAAAAATCAGACTCTTCTCATTACCTCTTGCCAGTTTGGAACTGGAGGACAACGAAAAGCTGAACTAGCTGATATCCATTTCCTTTGGAATAATAATACACTGAAATTAATTTGAAAGTGATCTTCTACTTGCTCTGTGGGAGGGTACCTGGCCTGGATATGCCAGTACTTATAAGAAACCAATCTACAGAATGTCTTTGGAAAGGTGCTGCTGTACTTAAAGTAACAAAACACTTTCCAGTGATGGTAGTGAATCTCTTTTGTTGACTGTAAAGTCATAACTAAAGAAATAATTGTTTGCTACTGCCATTAACTGAACCCCACACTGGACATCTGTATGACATTGCTATAATTGGCATCCGGAATGAGAATATGAAATAGGTGTAGTCTAAACACAGAAAAAGGAAACGCATCATAGACACTGAAACTGGGTAAATAGCAAGGAAATTCTGAGATAGATATCTGAGCTAGCAGTGCCACCTAGCCTATGCTCCAGAACTGTGGTGTAGCTCTTTCAAACGTTTCAGGGATGCTTTCCTGTTTGTTCAATCATTTTTAAAAGTATAATTACCAGAGTGCTTATGTTTTGCAGTTAACACTGTCAAGCCTTTTAAACTAATTGGCCTTTTACAGAAAATTTAACTGGAAATTAGCACATCTTTTAATAACATTGCTTTAACTTTAATAGCACTTTGCCTTTCATTTATAATTACTCTAAAATTGTCATTTTCCAAGTCCTAACTGCCATTTTTTTGTATTTGCTAGTGGGTTTTTATGGATTCCTTTTAAGAAGGCTCCTCCTCCACTGCATGCAGTTTTTAACATCGCTTTCAAATAAATATTTTAACTTGCTTTTCTTTTTCAGTTGGAGAAATTCTATTGAATGAATAATCTATCTATCCAAACGTGAGGAACAACTGAGCTAACATCAGTAACTTATACCAAAAACAAAAGGGCCTTTGAGACAGACACAACAGCAGAAAATAAGTAACAGTGTTTCACAGTTTGAAAATCTATTGATTCTCAAAATATTGTCCAAACTTTAAAGAAGTTTCAGACACTTTAGCTTACAAAATGCTGGTTGCTAATCCCCTGAACAGACTTGCACAAAAATACTTTTGTGTTTCAAAATGTCCCTATCATAAATTAGAACAGTTTCTTTACTGTATAAATAAGACTGTGAGGATCCCTGAGCAAGAACTCTTGAGTAAGGGATATACTGAAAAGTTATTTTTAACTGTTTTAACTATTGTCTTCCATTCTGTGCTTTCCCTTATATGAAGAAAAAGTAGAATTTAGTGTTATAGAGCAAAAATCAAGAGCTAAATTTCTAGCACAAGAAAATAAATTCTAGGATATCGAATGTTAAATGGTGTAATCTGGTTCTGGAGATCCTTGCCTCTAACGGCACCACTCCGACAGTATATCAGGTCTATTGTCAGTCCTATATATGGGAAGGATGTCAACCTGCCAGATCTTCAGTGGTTCTCATGGCTTCAGTGCCAAAAGGAATAATAGATAAGCTTTGGCTCTCAGGTCAACTGTTCAAACCTTTGAAGATACTGTGTGTTGATAAAACTGGTTTCTTTGCATCCACAGGATTTTCTGGAATGACTACCTCAACAGGACCCAGAAAAGGAAAAAGTACCTCTCCTGAACAATTTGCTTCTCTTAAGCTATCCTATGTCTTGTAACTTTTGTAGACGAAGACAATCTTTTTACAAAACATCCACATTATCTAAAAGATGCTTCTAATCCCACGTTTTTCAGTCACATTCAATTTGGTGATGAGAATGTGCTTTGCTTTTCAGGAGCAGCGCCACCTTGAGACTGCCAGACTACACAGATTCTTTCCCTGGGTTTGCAACAAATATTAATATCTCATTCAAGTCTCTGATGGCAGTAGTTGCCTCTTCAAAGTCATAATAATGATTAGCTGGTGTGATTTAACAATAGCCGCTGCCACACTTAAAACATGAACCATGCCTACAGTCCTCACACAGAGTACAATAACACACTTGAACTGAAGCCTGGAGAGACCACCGTTACCAACTCATCCAAAAGACAGTGCAGTTTTTGAGCTTGTTATTGTCTTCTGAGCAATGATCTTCAAACTACCACACTGTGAATCATAGGCTTGTGGAATATATTGCCTTTGCTGCAGAGGACAAACTGTGTGTAGATAGTCTGTAGATAGCAATTTGAACAGTAAACTCCATTAAGTCTTTTATCTTTAAAATAAGAAAATAACAGACAAATTCAAATTTAAAATATCTGATACTGTCATCTTATAGGAAATAATGCTAAACTAGCAGAACGTAATGATCTTCAGCATTCAGATTTGAATCAGAAAACAACACCACATTTTCTAATCTGTGATTCACAAGTAGGCTTTCACACACGGGTCAGCACAGTATGAATGATTTCCTTCTTGCAGAATTCCTGTGCAATTAATAGTATGAAAGCATGACTGTGAATCTCACAATTTAGTTAGGATTTTGGGTTCAGTTTGCCGGTACTGGCTTGAAGTTAGGCAGAATAAATAGAAGTTGGTCCCTAAAAACAAGTGTACTCTAGAAAAAAAAAAAAGAGAGAACATAGTGCAAGTAGATTAGTTTGTGTGAGAAATCCTCTCTTCCTTGGAGAAGAAGTGAAAGGAGAATACATCATTCCCATTAGAATAGGGATAGTAAAGGGAAAACATTTCACACATCTTACACTTTCTGAAGGGTCAGGAAGAATTGTATTTTTCCAACTCTTTACTAGGCCTTTGAGGAATAAAAGAGAAAATAATGCTGCTGCCGATCAGCAAAGTGGTGAAAGAAAAGACAGGATGGTGAACAATTCTAACTGACTGAATCCTTGGCTTGTCTTCTTGATTAGTATTTTTTCTAAGTTAGAATTTTCTACTCTTGTTATCACATTTATTTCTCTGGCTTCAGGCTGCACTGTCCCTGACACATAATATGACCACTTAGATGTGAAAACATTTGAAAAAAAGACTGTCTTGAAGAAAGGAATTGCAGAAACAGAGGGGCATGTTGTCAAAAACTAAAAGTTAATAAAATCTAGCAGTAACTAAAAATATTGTGAGGATTATATGATGAGTTCCAAGTAAAAATTTCTGAACAGTCATGTTCCACGTATTTCTTATTGCCTCACTATTATTTACATGATAAACCTTTGCACAAGAAAGCAACGGTGTTCACAACATTTCACTGTCTTTTTGTGGAGATGCCAGTGGCAATCAGAAGAATTAACCCTACTTTTTCCAAGATTCTGGAAGTGCCCTACTGAGTGATTCATTCAAGGACATTGATTTAGATAATAATGTGAGCAGATAAACAGCTCTCAGTACAGCAATTTGGAACCTTCACGTTAAATTATTCCCATTTATAATGCGAAAATGCTAAATATTTTATACACAGGGATTTTAATTAGAGAAGGTGCAGAGTTTAAGTGTGCTTGCTTAGGCTTTCTTACTTTGTTCACGTCTGCAAAATGCATCCAATAACTTTCAAAAAAAGCATTTTTTGAGTTTATTGAAACTCCTAGGCTGCATTAGAATAAAATTTTATCAATGTAGACTGATATTATTCATCTGTGGATGGAACATATGAGGAATATACCCAGGAATAAAAATATGAAATACAGATACAAAAATATGAAATATGAATAAAATATTAAATAATAAATATCATAATGAATTTTTCTTAAAAGCAAAAAGCTTCATTCTGAATTTAGGTGAAGATCAGACTTGACTCCTTTAAAGAAATCCATTTGCTCATTTCTAATATTATGTGGGAGTTTACAACAGATGATTCGCAGCACTATGGAACTTTATTCCATGGGGAGCTCAGAAAGCCTATGCTCAGATTTTAAAAAGACTATGTCCTCGTTACATCTAGCAGAGTTTAACATCCCTCTGCAAGAAATGCAGCTCACTCAGAGCAAGGCTAGTCTGAGAACCTAGCTAATATGAAGCAAGGGAGGATGAAAAGGACTATGATCAAGGCGTTTGCTTCAAAACTGTACTATGGTTGCAAACCAAAAAACAAAGACCACCATCTGTAGTTTCTGGCATGCACTTACGTTTTGATTCACAAGACAACTCATGTGAAAAAGAGATTATGACCTCTCTTCACACAAGTAGAGTTCACATGATGTGTACAATGGCTTTCATATAGTTCTATCAGTGTCCCCCAGCGCTCATACTCAGAGTATTGTTCATGGTTACAGGAAATTAAAAGTTTAAAACACGGTTGATGCTGTCTGACATGAATGGTGAGCATAGGGACTGACACACTGAATTTGGGTCTGGGTTTCAGGAAGGAGATACAAGATTTTTTGAAAAATATTATCATTAAAGCCTGACGTGAGACTCTGTTTTTAAAATACTGGACTCGTGGTAGTCCTAGATATCTGAGTTGTTTTAAGGTGTCTGTGTCCAACTAAAAAATAACCTAGTTTAAGCTCTGAAATTCTCTTGACATCTAAGAGAAAAGTGTTTTCTCCTGACTACCTGTGGGTAAGGGACTATGCTTTCATACTCTTTCACAGCAAGTCTGATGGAAGGGAATGAAAAAGGTTTTGTTTGCTTACTGCGCTCATGAGAGAGTCCAGCACACTGACAGCAAATGCGGTTCCACATGCGAAGGGCTGCGTGAGATACAGTTCTGTGTCTGGATCATCATCATCATCTTGGTCCAAGAACTGAACATTTGAATCATTTACTGAAAATAATAAAAAAAAAATCATAAGGTGCTTCTGGGTCACCAGCGTGTGACCTTACACGTTACACAGTCAGAAAGAAAAAGAAACGGCATATGTCTGGAAACACAGACTTGTGTCTTAGACGTCACTGAAAATGAAATCAAGATGGATGTGAAAATGGTCACTTAAAAATCTGTTGATCATTATCTTGCTTGTAAGAGGTGACTCGCTCTTGAGAGGTGACTATCCCTTTGCTTTAGAAGTAGCTTCGTGGCACCAGCTGTCTGCACTCAAAATGAGATACATGATGCTCTTTTATATATTGAGACAATCTTGGTACTGGTCAAGTACAGTGGCTAAAGCTGTATGCATGCACAGCAAAATGTTATCACAAGATACCAAGTCAGAACCCTGTTGTAAAGTAAAGGCTGTCCATAAAACTCTGATATAGCCCACAGGCATCTGTTAGATGTGCTGCTGTGATTCTTACTGGAGTAGTGTTAATGTACTTACGGCTCAAAAGAGGATAAACTGTCCCTTTAACATGCATCTATCTGAATTAATGAGCAATACTCCAGATATTCTCTTGCAGCACTGCCTTTTGTTCAAATATTTGTCTCCATAACTTCACTTCCTCAGCCACAAATTCTATATTAGCCAGTGTGAAAAATAATCTAGATCAGGTTGTTTTAAAGAAAAAGCCCAAACAAAGTAGTATTCGTCATTTAGACTTTCTCTGGTATTTCATTGTTACAGTTAAGCTCTCTGCCTCCACTTCATTCCACTAAAAATAGTTGTTTCCTTGAGATCAGTGTACCAAGTGGATCATATTTCATGAAATATTTCATTTCCATATTAGTCCTCCCCAGGCATGAAAGTACAGACTGCTTAGCTATGCCATCAAAATACCCTTTAACTTACTAAATGACAAATTAATTTTGGTTCCCATGCAAGGACGGGAAATTAAAAACCTTTTCGGCATTTGAAACTAAACGCATTGACTGTGTCCCTTATTCCCCATGAGAACACATCTCCTGAGCCAATCCTGTGAGCTTTGAAAATAACATGAGAGCTGCTGTTAACTTGATCAGGTTTCGGCTCTGGGCTTCTTAGGTTAGAAATTCTTCTACCTGCTATTCTGATCTTCCTCCCTACATAGTTTCATTTTCCATCCACTCCTTTTCCAACCTGTATATACTACTGTGCTTGCCATGCTTAGTTTACAAAACATGAATAACTACAGACAAAGCCTCACAATAGCTGTCTACAAGACATGAGAATTGTTATCCTCCATTTAGAGCCCTGTTGAGCCAGTACTTGGCCATGACCACTCAGTCAGGACCTGAGCTGAAGTGGGATTTAAAATTCCTGCCTTCCCACTCCCTAATGTAACCACGAAAACAAAACACCTCAGCATTGTAAATGGAGAAGTATTCTGCTCTGGCAGTCAGAAGAATTTCATCCAAGCAAACACCAATATCCACAATACTCCTTTTTTTTGTACAATGGCTATCAATTTATTCTCCAGATTCTTGAGGAAAATAGTATTTGAAAGCCTGACATATCATTACAAAATGTACTTTTTGAAGAGCTTGTGCCTTAGTTTAATTTGCTAGTTGAGACTAGGCACTATTGACAGTAGCATTCTTTTTCCACTTATGTCTGGCAGACTAATACCTGCCTTTGACACCAGCTTGCTAGCCATGTGTGGTGTCAGTTTCCAAGGTATTACAAATCTAACATGAATTCTGCAAGTGTGGTTTTATCCTCAGTATCTTTATCTTCCTGATGCAAGTTAGCAAGCTAGGATTTCTGCAAAAGGTCTCTGGGCTAGGTGAGGTAGGCTGAAATGTGCGGTGCTGCGCCATAGGAAATGCTCATCAAACACTTCTCGCAAAAGCTGGTGAAAGCTGTCTTTATTGAGAGGGAGCAACGCAGAAGTTTGGCTGCTTTTTTACAGCTTCAGAACCTGAGCTTCTGAGAAAAGGCCTACTCCCAAAAATAAACAAACAAATAGCTTAAGGGAAAGTATGATGCTGGCAGGTTTTTTTCTGGTATCTTTTAGTTCTTCTTGTACTTCCTGTAAGAACTGCTAAGGCATGTCCACCAAATTGAAACAGGCTGAAGTAACAAAAAAAAGAAAGAGAAAGAGAGAGACGAAAGGAGATAAAAATTGGTGGGGGGAGGGAGGGCCCAGGAGGTGGGGACCCAGGCCAAAGAAAATGAATTGGTGAGAAGGTGCTATGAAAACAGCCGGCAGGTCAGACGAGTGTGATCAAAGGTTTACTGATGCTGCGTGAAAAAAAAAATCATTAAGAAAGGCCAGAACAAGACAGTCAATTTCAACCAGAACCACAAATAAAACACATTCAAAGCAGTGCCATGAGGGTAGCCCCTCTGATACAGCCAGATAAATAAAGGAAAAGCTGATGACAGTAAGAACAACAACAACAGAAAATAAGACAGTGATGTGAAGGAAAAAGGCACTTCTTACCCAGTTCAGTTATCATTAGAATGTGGGTTCCACTGTTTTTTTCCTGACTGATTGAAACCAAAGGCAGAAGTTTGCCAGGCTTAGCTAATAAGTAAAGTATTTAGGGGGAAAAGAAAGTATAGAAAGAGAATAAAGTAAGGGAAAAAGACAGGTAAGGCTCTAAAAAAATAAAACTGATAAACAAAATAAAAGGACAAAGGACCACAAATCAAGTTTGCATTTGCCATGAAAAAAACAGAACAGCTTCTGCACTTCACATCACACCACTTGACAACATAAATACCCACAGCTAGATTGGAAATCAGAGCCTGGTTACCTACCATCATCATATTCTCATGAGTAAAACATCTCATACTATTATACAGAGTTTGGTTACACATGATTAAACAGTTCTGGACCATGAAGAAATAAACAAATGGCCTCTTACTATTGATTAAATGCACAGGAAATGTCTGTTCATACTTACTGTGTTTTTTTCTTTTCTAACCTTAGTCCAAAGACCACTGCTTATTTGTTACACTATGTAAAAAGCAACTTGTCTGATAGAGTGTTTATTTAAGAAAATGGAGAAAACCCAAAGGAGAGAGAGAAATATATTTCAGTTACTCAAATAAAGTGAAACAACTGTTACTAATCTTTAGAGAGAGTAATTCAAAACAGTTATCAGAAGAGAAAACAGCAGTGTAAGATAAAGTACAGGTAATTTTTCCTGAGACTGCATAACAAGGGAAGTGGGAAAAAGATACGGGAATGTACATGAAAGGATAAATTTTAGCTTTCCTTACCTAGCTCTGTTATAATAGGGATATTGGCTCCTGTTGTAATTGAGGGTTGACGTAACAGGCCATGGACTGGACTGTTGTCTGGAGATGACCTATCCATCCCAGGGGGTGTAAAGCCTAAAAGAATTTTAAAAACAAAAAAAAGTAGTTTACACAGGACAAACTATAAAAGAAAATCCTGACCAACAGCGAAATCCGTATCTCAATTTTTTTTTTTCCCCCAGAAAAGTAAGGTAAAAAAATTGTGATTTAAAAAAAATTCACTTAATTTTCAACAATTATTTCTTAAAAGCATAATCCTTCACAAACATGCAAGTCATTTCTACTGTAAGATATTTGGTGGCTAATGAAGAAACTGAAACTTTATTTTGTTATCCTAGGTAGCCTTTATATCAAAACATGCAAAATGGAAAGAGTAATGCTTACTTAAATATAAATTAAAAAAATGAAGACTTCAGTGTTAGGTTTAGATTTGTCCTATTAGTATTTCGAATAATCCTGAAACAAACACCTTTCCTTAAGCCCCAATTAACATTTTAAAAAGTATTGTTTGTAAACAGCAGTACAACCACGAGGAACAAATTGCCTCCATTAGCAGGTTTTAGGTTTGATCAACAAGCAGGATTTAAAATTTTCTGTTTTCCGGGAGCAATACAACCCACACAGTTGTGGTTTTTTTGTTTTCAGGTGTAAAATTCGTAATATGCCTTTTATGAGAATTACAATTATAGGAATATTGGGATGGAAGGGTCCATTCTAACAGAAAAAAGAGATACGATAGAAGGAAAAAGACACAGGTTTTCAAACAGTATGTAAGAGGAATGTTTGAAAAGAAACTAGAAAGAGTTTTATACCTTTGGAGATGTAAAGGAAACAAAGGTGAGAGAGGAAACGTACTGGCAGGCACTCAAAGAAAAAAAGATCTGGAAAGCAGCAAGGTTCACCTCTAAAAAAGATTGTGTTTTCAGCATGATTCTCTACACAGTTTGAAATAGAGCTCTTGACACTGAGCATTTTTTAATTTTTTTTTTTTTTAAATAAAAAACACCCAGGCAAAGTGTTTTGGAGTTCGATTGTAAGTACTGAAAAACAGGCAGTTATACAAAAGCCCATGCAACAGTTGGACTGGAAATTTACAGTTGAGACTAATGCATTCGATCTCCCTTGTCCATTAAAGCTGCGTAAAGCATGGGAACGTTCATCTAATGTCATTAGTGCAGAAGTGATGGTGAAGCCAGAGTTTGACTTTTGGGTTTCATGTAGACCAGTGCCAAGGCAGTATTTTTAAGCAAGTATTTGTCTGCCAGGAATATGATTGAGCCAAGCACACTTTAAAACACACATTTCTGAGAAAACATTCATTTTTTTGCCACATTATGTCCGAGTTCTTTGACTTCGAACCTGCCATCCAGGGACAGATTTTGTTCCTCTGTCATTACTGGTCTGAACTAGTTTTGAATTCTCCATATACCAATTTTAAATTAATCACAGCCAAATTAATTCCTGATGTAATTTCATTACCTTCTTGCAGTGTGGAAACTGTTTCCCTGCATTAAATTCATTGATACATTTATCTGCTACTGAATTCAGAAGAAGATATGATATTATATTCTCTACTTTACCTTTCTTCAGTTTGGGGAATAATTTACAAACCAGGAAATCTCTAAACTAAACTGTAGTTGCTAACTTGCGGTACTGGTTTTATATTGTCTGAGGGATTTATGGTTCTTTTCCAGTGATAATTACCTTCACTCTTAAACTGTCCCTAAACAAGACAAACTATAAGGATCACTAGATCTGGACTTCTTGATTTAATGGGATTTAATTTTTTATTTGATATTCAGTTCATTTCTTTCTGTTTTGTCTATATCACATATAGAATATGTAGGTAATAAAACTAGAATCACTGAGAAGAGAGACTTGCTTAGCCCTCCAGAAGGTACCAGTATGAATTTCTTTCTGACTATCACATGAAAGCTAAATATAACATGAGGACAGGATAAGTAAAAAGGGAGGGAAAACTCTATGAAGAAATTCCTTAGGAGAAAAGAAATGGATGTGGTATTTTCAACAGGCTTCAAGAAAAAACATTGCCATAGGGAAACCTAAGACAGCGAAGCAATTCTATTTAGTATTACCAGCACACAGAAAATCTTTAGAAAGCTGATTTCTTAGAGACAATCGGAAATGTTGGCAATGTTAACCGTCGGTCATTTAATACTACTCGTTGTGCTGAAACTAATTCAAGAAGACCAGCATGGTGATGGTGAGTTGCATTCCCAACTGGTATCAGTTTGCAGATGTTTCCTTGTGTCTGGCACTGTGAGTGTGAGCTGACTGGCTCTTTGAATGCTTACTTCTGCATGGCAGAGCCTAGGACTTCTCAGATCCACAAAGTGAGCCTAACAGATCTCCTTCAGGCACCATGTCGAGTTAGAGGTAACGCCTGCACACTCGCAGCAGCAAGAAAATTAAAATGGGACTCCAAAGGGAGGGAATGCTATCCAAGGACAGGTGGGTATTAGTGTGACATCTCCTTCTGCAGCAGGCTCCAGTATTTAAGTTTTGTATTCTGTTGTGCTACAGGAAAGGCAAGACATAGCTTTAGTCACAGTACATTAAAAAAAGCTCAAGTAGCTGTAGACTCCTTGAGCAGTTAAAGCGGCAGACCCAGTTGGGTCCTCTGCAGAGTTGTAAGTCAAAATGGCAACAGCAAGACTTTTTACACTCACTTATCTGAGAGCAGAGAAAACTAATCTTGTTCCCATGCATGCACCCTAGGGTTTGTACTGCTGGGAGCATCCCTAGAGGCCTTGCTTCCCTCTTTTCCTGAAAGCTTTTGTCTTCCCATTTCAGGATTCACTCCCTAAAACATCTCTTAGTGAATCAGGCTCTTCAGATAACAAGAGCACATCAGTATTTCCCTACTAGTTAAAAGCAAATTGAAGAAAGTTGGCATAACTGCATCTAAATGTGTAAGTCCTTCTTGCCCTCCCTCTACTGCAATGTGCACACACGGAAGCATGCACACGCACACTCTCCATTGAAGGCTATTTGTAGCCACCTCTCTTTAACCCTTCAAATATTTGTCTTCCTAGGATGGTGTTAGCAGATTGAAGTAAATGTAGCATTTCTGTTAGACTCAGACTGTCAGGAGCTCTGTAATTGCACACTGCACACATAGTGCATTCGGTCTGAAATACAGGAAGCATGTTAAAGGGATTTTGTTTTCTCCTTGAATGAAAAATAGACTCATGCCTTAATATTTTTCATCCTATGGTCTTGGAAGATATGAGAAATATCTGCTATTTTAGTTTAATTTCCTTGCCCATACTTAATTCAGACACCTCTACAAATCCACTTTTAAAAAATATATAAATCTTGGAATATTTTCAGCAAAAGGAAAACTGGACTATTTGGGATTTTGTGTGCCTATTTTTAGAGTCACAAGGCATCGTACACCTTCAGGCCACA